GAAAAACACTTTGAAAACTCCTACACTCCCCGTGTGTGTGTCCATGGCCCAACCAAAGGGAGGGTTCACATATTGTCAACCCAATTATCATGCCTTTGAGTCCAAAGAAGATTTGCCACCTGTGACATTTCTCTTCTTTTCTGAGGTGCAAAATCTTAATGTAGGCCCAGACAAATATTGACGGGCTGAGACCAGAACTACTACAGCCCAGAAATAAAAATCTACCTACTTATATCACTATTTTAATAAATTCATTGCTTAATAAAATAGAGTGCGGCTAAACGAACCTTAAAATTAACTAAGTACACTCTACTACCAAACTATTTATCGAACTACTAATTTACCATAATATAAAAAGACCAAAAAGAATATATTAAATTGTGAAACAAATATAATTGTAATAAGTACACCCTAATTTTAATAGAGCTCTATCTAGATTCTTGCACACAACCAATTCCCACAACCAGACACACGCAGACATGGCTTGCACAAGCATGGGTGCGGTGTACGGCACAACGAAGAGTGGGGTGGGTGTGGCCTCCATGGGAGTGATGCAGCCTCCAGGGGATGGGAGTGATGCGGCCTGAGCTGGTGATGAAATCGATAGTGTCGGTAGTTATGGCTGGAGTACTTGGGATCTATGGGCTCTGTTGATCTTTTAGTCGTGATGATATATGCTTGTCTAATAAGATGTCAATTTTATTGGACTAGTGAATTAGTTCCCTATTGATCAGCATTGCATGGAAGAAATTAATGTTTGAGAGTTAAGGGTGCCATTAGAGTGCCAATAATGGTTTCAAATTACAGAACCGTTTGTTGCAGCATTTGGATGAGACTTGCTAGATGAATACCCGGGAAGCACCTGGGTTTATAGTAAAATTTCTTATGTGTCCTACCAAAAGCACTATTAACAGAGATGCATTACCTTACAAGGAGGGGGTGGATCTTTTATAAGACAATAGTTTGTCAAAGATCTTTTATGAGCCAATATTTTGTCAAAGTGGATGGTTCTGTGAAATGCATTTTCTATTGGGAATCGGGTTTATGCTTCAATACAATTCAACGTATTTACATGCGGTTCCAAGGCATTAGGTGAAGCTAGTTTGGGCTAAATATGAGTATTACTTTGCATTTTAATATTGGGTTTTTGCTTAAGTGTAGACTGTGTGGTTAAAGAGGTATGATATGTGTTTTTTAGAGTGTATGTATCAGGGGCATTTTTGGTAGTTAAATAGGGTTTATTTAGTTAATTTTAGATTTAAATATTTGGATGTACTTAGATCATAGGTGTACTCAGTTAATTTTAGGGTTCATTTAGTAACACTTATAAAATATCATTAGCACTAAAAGAGGCCATGAAATTGATTGATCAAAATTCAATGGCCATAGCCAATGAAGGTTGGTTCAGTTTGTAAGGTCTCTGCATTGTGTGTAGTCCCATCAGTGTTCGAGTCTCGCTGCCAATAGTCCTCGTTGGTTTGCGATTTGTAATTTCCTACATAAATCCATACCAGTGGCAGTTGGCAGTTGGGTGCCACGTGTAAGTTCTTTCGGCTCGAGGTTGTGGGTCTATCCTGACGCTGATGGTTAGAGTAGCCAATCTACCCCTAAATTTTTTTTCAAAAAAGAAAAAAGAAAGAAAAAAAATCAATAGCTATAGCTAGTGAGTTCAGAGCATTGACCTAGTTGAATATAATAAGCACCACTTGGCCTTTAAGTCTCTTCCTACAGCGACTAGTTAGACTAAAAAATCTAATGTATTGACAACGCAGTGCAAACTGATTCATGTGGTGTGGACCGCAATCTCTCATTCCATCTCTCCCTCTCTCTCTCTCTCTCTCTCTCTCTCTCTCCAGTTTATAATATTATTCTGTAACCATCACTCTCTCTTCAGTTTATAATATTATTCTGTAACCATCACCGAAATATAAGAGAGTCAATTCTTGTATGCATAATGCAAGTGCCAGTAAACTTTCATGTTCACCGACGTGCAAGACTAAGATAAAGAGACCTGTTGACGCTTCCATTTCTACTACTACTTCTTTCATGGCCGAGGGGCTGTGGCTGCCGTTAAAAATGTATTATTACCATTGACCGCACCCAGTAAAAGTTTTTAACTAGCTAGGAGCTAGCCACAACAACAAACAAACTCATGATGATAAACTTCTTCAAAGACTAATTAATCCACGACATACCAAACACCTTGAAAAGGCGCCTCCAGTCCATTCATTGTGTTGTTGATCATCATCTCCCTTCTCATCAAAACTACTTATTAATTTTTAAAGGTTAATGGCTCCTTAATTACGTTATACCAAAGTTCACGACATCATGCCTTTATGCTATGACGATTTCTTATTTCAAAAGCCATCAACTTTAAATAATTATATAGTATCTCTAATAACTTTATTGATTTCAAAAAAACTGCATTAAAAAATATATGGGTTAAGTCATCACCAGGTAACTCTTCTACTCCAAAAAACCCTAGTCCCCTTTCTCCCCAAAAACACTCTTAGAGCTTTTTCCACTTTGAGGGGGGAGGAAGCCATTGTTCTTCCCCCCTCTCCCCTCTTCTCTTCCTCCTTTCACCTCTTCCCCCATTTTCAGAGACAAAGGGTTTTTCCTATTTATCTTAGTTTTGTTATGATTTTCATCCAACCATTATAGGCGGCTGTGGCTCAGCGTCGGATCTTCATCTGCATTTCAGCGTCGGATCCCCACCACCATCTTTTTTGCAATTTCTTTATGTTTGGAATAAGTTGCAGAGACTCTTTGGGTTCTCTGTGTAGTTTTCACCTCTCCTTTTGCGAGAGTTTTTCATCTCTTCTTTGTGAGAGCTTATCATCTATCATTTGTGAGAGTTTTATTTGTATTGTTATGGCTTGGTTTTGTCAAGCTTTTTATTATTCTAAGTTTGCAATCTTAGTTGGGATGCCTATACCAGAGTTTCTTCGATCCTGCCTGATCATTAGTGGAGACGCACCAGATTGTCTTAATATTGATATTAGACCGCTCCGTTATTGTAATGGCCTTTTGTGGCTAGTGGCTTTTTTGGTTGAATTTTGAATGCAATCATAAAATTTCTCAACAAAAAAAAAGTCATCACCAAGTACTAAATAAATAACTCTTAATTAATTTTAGGAGGTGCAAGAGTCACAAATAAGGACATATTGCCCTTTATTTTGTAGGGGGGTTTGTTTACTTTTTGGATGAGGAAGGTAATGATAATGAATTAAAATTAAGCATTCCTTGAAAAGATATGTAAAAGTTGATTTTGGATATGTATGTGTTAAATTTCAGAGAGATGGGTAAGTAGCTCGGTAAAGTTTTATCATAAAAGACCTCGGTGATATTAAGAGTGGTATCATTCATTATATATTGTATTTCATTTAGTCAAATTTTCGATCATGCACTTTGATTTGTTCTCATCTCAGAATCCTCTCATATGCAATTTGAGCTACAGAAAATTTTCGCCTTTGCATAAATTATGAATTATGTTTGCAGGATTCAATATTCATGATCTGCTAGTGGGAATGGGATTTATTTAATGTTTTTCCTTTCTATAAACTATGATCTTGGGATGGTTACTGTACATTAATTAAAATACAAAGCCTCAAAGTCATGTGTGTCCAAGACTATTTGGTTTTAGATATGTTTAACTATTTCCTTATTTAAGAATCATAATTATATATCATGCTGACCATGATCCTTTTAATTTATACTACAACAGTTGAACGGACATATCTTAAAGTTTCAAAAGATCAATATTTTTGTTTTTGGGGTTACAGTTTCCAAAAAATCACATGCATATATAATAACATGTCTTATCTTCTAATGGATGAGATTTGTTTGCGTAGATGCAAACCAATTATTACCAGTCCTGTTACTCAGATCCCGAGATAAGTAATTAAAAAAAATTGAGTGAAAAGGAGTAAGCGTTTCTGACGTTGCGTGGCGGATTGATAATATTGTAAGTTTAAGTAAGTATGCTTTTGATTGTTGAATCAAGGATTTTAATCATTTTGTGGGTTGTGCATGATTTGTAAGTATGCTTTTGTTTTGGATCAATGATATAAACCAAGTTTAACGTAAAATTTATACAAAATGAATACATTTAACAAAGACTAGATAATCATATATATATATATATATACATTTATAAGTTATTTTTCTGATCAAAATGAATATATATCTACAAATGGATGTGCAAGAAAGTTGAAAATTCTGATAGAAGATCATGCACGGTATGCCATTTGTATGGACCAACTATAACAACTGCATCTTACATAGAGCCTTTTCATACAGAACAAATTCTATAATAATTATCCAAATTTTCTTCCATATACAATCAAACTGGTCAATGCAATTATGCAATGAAAAGCCGAGTGAAGTCTCTTCCCGTGTATGACAAGCGTATTGACTGCCGACAATGAATTGGTTATATTGTCGCATTGGGAAAATTTTGGGATGCAACGGTCACATTGTCGCGTGGTGTTATTAATTCACGTATTATAATATTAATGGATGATATATATGATAAATTTACATTATAGTTTTAATAAATAAATACACGTGTTATAACATGAGTGAATTGATAACACCATGTGGTGTGAACTAAAAATTTCCCGTCTTAGTGAGGCTGTCTCTCCACCATTAATACTAGAAGGTCATACCTATACATACTTAAAACGTATACGTTGACTCTTATAGCCATGTGATGTCTCCCTTGTACGAAGCTTCAAAGACGTAGTGTACTGCTACATATAATACACACGGTTCCCGCAAATTCAGCTCTCTGGAAGCTCATTAATATGTTCATCAACTGTGGAAATGTTGAAACTATTAAACTCTTGCTACTTTATTTATTAGTTTAATCGAGAAAAGTAATAAATAAATGAAAGAAACTGGGTTGCAGAGTTGACAATTTGTGTGTAGCTGCGTAATGGACAATAGATGATAACCGGATTCAAATTTGTTTGTTATCACAAGTCATATGGCTTGTAACCCCATCTGTCATCTGCTATACACACCAACCATTATTTATAATTAAGTTGTTTTGCAAGAAGTTAATGGAGATGTTCAAGTAATTAGAGCGCAAACTCATCTGCTAATTATAAAGCAATTGAGAATGCCAAACTCTAATAGTAGAACAGCCCCAGAGAAGAAAGTTGATGAATCTGTTGGCTATCAAGAGATTTACAGTCAGGAGGTAAGAGAGGTATATGTCTTAAAATAAGTAATTACTTTGATAATCTCTTTTTTTGTGGCAAATTAATGATGTTTTTCTATTTAATTTCCATGTTCTCTCATGAGAGATATGGTTGCTGTTCAATATACTACTGAATATGAATATCTCTCACTGAGTTTCTATGAAAGAGATCGATGTATATGTCTTGAAAATTCTACTAGTTTTCTGAATAGAATCGCAGTTTTTGTTTTTGTTTTAATTTTGAGTACTTTTCTTAATTATATATTTTATGGAGTTTCTGTTCATGTATAGTTTCACATTCAATGTACTGTCCATTACCAGATATAATCAGTGATCACTTGTTGCTAGCTACTGTTAATAATTTTAATTAATTTTTAATTTCCTTTACAGGTTTTTAATATCTTCAAATTTCTAATACATATCTGTTAATCTTGACTCTGAGTCCTTGTTAAGTATTTCGTTTTTTTATTTTATTTTATATATGATGGATGTATAGGAGAGTGAACTTGAAAATGCCAGAGCTGAAATGGGTGAGGTGAGAGAAGAAAATGCCAGACTAAAATTGACCTTACAGCATATGGAGAAGGATTACCAGTCTCTCCAATGTCGTTTTTTTGACATCCTTAGACAAGAGGCTTCCAAGAAAGCTACAAATGTTGATGTTGGTGTTCATCGAATTGAAGAACCCAATCAGCTCTTGTCTCTTTGCCTCGGAAGAAGTCCAAGGGAGCCCAAACATGATGAAACTAATACCGCCAACTTCAAACTTGTACAAGTTGATCATGAAGACTTGAATGCCAACCTTACTCTTGGATTAGGTAACTCTAAATTAATGGAGTTGCCTATGGAGCTTGTGCGTAGCCAAAAACCTCAGGAGACTAGTTTGGAAGAGCCCAAGGATCATTCAGAAGCTGGAGCTGGAGAATCTTTGCCTCCATCAAGTAAAACACCAAAGACAACGAGAAATGAAGATGATGAAGTTCCACAGCAGGCCAATGCAAAAAGAGCTAGGGTTTCCGTCAGAGTTAGATGCGATACCCCAACGGTATGATTTCTTCTTGTTATAAATCTATTTTCTCACAATGCTTTTGCTTTTGTTTTTGTTTCATTATGTACATGTGTGTTGGGTTTTTGGTTTCTTAAAGATATTAACTTAGGATCAATATATACTTGATTTCCTCATACAGATGAACGATGGATGCCAATGGAGAAAATATGGACAGAAGATTGCAAAAGGAAATCCATGCCCACGAGCATACTACCGCTGCACAGTTGCACCAGCATGCCCTGTGAGAAAGCAGGTAGGTCCCCAAATGTACATACAAAATCATATATCTTCATAATATTATGAAAATATATGATTGAAAAGATAGATAGATCCTTATGTTTTTGAAATTGAAAGATTGATTAATATATGTGTACTCCTTTTGTACATGATTTCAGGTGCAAAGATGTTATGAGGATATGTCCATCTTAATCACCACCTACGAAGGAACACACAACCACCCGCTTCCATTCACAGCCTCTTCCATGGCTTCCACCACTGCTGCGGCAGCTTCCATGCTATTGTCTGGCTCCTCCACATCTCAGCCGGGTTTCGGTTCCACAGCCACTCTACTCAATGGATCAGATTTTGGTGTCTTTGATAGTTCAAGAACAAACCAGCTCTACTTGCCCAAATCCAACCCTTTGCTCCCCACAATCACTCTAGACCTCACTGCCTCTCCATCCTCTTCACCAATCCATTTGAATAGGTTGTCTTCTAGCTTTGCTTCAGCTTGCACATTCCCTTCAGGCCTCAGCTTTTGTTCCTCAGAGTCCAACATTTCGCCCAACAGTAGGGGCAATGGATACCTTAAATATGGCTCACTGCCGTTTGACAAAGGGTCCTTCAATCTAGATCAACCTTACGCAGAAAAGAATCACCAATCTTCTTCTCAGGTGTCTTTAACAGAATCTTTAACCAAGGCAATCACGTCAGACCCTAATTTCAAATCAGTAATTGCCGTAGCACTTTCATCCATGGTTGGAGGTGGTGCTGCTACTCATGGAAACCAAAGCGAAAGATTAGGACACCACTTGAAGTGGAGTGAAGCTGCTCATCAGTTTACTTCTCATAATCCATTGATACAGAACGGGAAAGGATGCAGCACACCGAGCATTTTCAACAGATTGTCATCTTCAGACTCTCAAAAGTGAAACGTGATCCACTGTCATTTCCCTGATTACATCTACTTTTGCTATCAGGGATACAAGCTTATAAATTATGATATCAACCATTGGAAATTTTCTTTTGCAGCAGGGCAGTCACTCGTGTTGTGTTGCCAAACTATCAATCTTTGACCATTGATCAAGTAAACTTTTGTTTAATTCTATGGTTCGGATTGATAATATAGCAAAACAATACGCCAGACAAAAGAACATTATCCTCAGTTATTGTAATGAAAATTTAGAAGTTTATTTACAGGCGCACAGTGCTCTGAAACTATGATAAAGACTAGTTGGCGATAAATATTAGGGAGTTTCACTAAAACACCCAAAATGGAGGTTGAAATTATAAAAAAACCAAACACCCAAAACACTTTATAAACACACCCAAAACTCATCATTACACACACTCAAAACTCATTTATAAACACACCCAAAAAGTTGACTTTGAAGTTGATTTTGGGTGTGTTTCTATGTTTAAATAGTGCTTGGGTTTTTTTATAAATACATGTCTAGAATTGGGTTTATTTATAAATTTGTATAAATATTACAGCACATTTCCAGCTGATACTAGATATATAAATAAGAGATTTGACTGTAGCAAAACACAAATTTACATAAAATATTCTTGCAGATGTGGTATTGCAGAGCACACAAACGGCTCACTATCTATGGAATAAAAGGCATCTTATGTATGCATCATAGGATAAGAGTTGAACTTACAAAATTCAAAAAATTCCCTCCCAACAGGGTTCTTTTCCATATAAGCTTTCAATTCCCATCAAATAACCACAAAGATATTGTTATTTGATCAGAATCTATAACATTAAGGTATCACAATTCAATTCTGCGTGATGCATGAGGAGAAAATAATTATCATCGATGATCAGACGTGATCTTTTCTCTACATTTAACTTTTGATAAATCTTGAGACAGCCTCCTTGAAAGCCAATGCACATCTGTCCCTTTTTTTCTTTTTATGTCCCAACAGCTTCCTCTTACCCGGTTATTTCCTCACCGTGGAGGGTTAGCCAAAATAATCTTTCATCTGAAATCCCAAAAACAAGGAGTGGATTAGCCACTGAGCTGTTGAAGAGTGGCTAACATAAGCTGCATAAACTATAAGTCTACAGAGAGTTATTGGGTGTCATGTATGTAAAACGCCAAAATAAATAAATTTGACAACATACTAATGGCAAAGGAACATAAAAGGAGAAACAGTAAGTACAAATTAGGCGGTTACAAACATACGCTACTGTTCTGGACTTTTTTCTACGAACTCTTCAGTAGTTCATGAAATGCCTCCTGAGGTATATCAACAGAACCGACACGCTTCATTCGCTTCTTTCCTTCCTTTTGCTTCTCTAACAGCTTCTTCTTTCGAGTGATATCACCACCATAACACTTGGCAAGAACATTTTTTCTCATAGCAGAAATCCTACCACAAACGTATAGAATCTTAGCTGAACGGTAAATGTTTCAAGAGCTATAACATGACAAACAAAAAAAATTAACTAGTACTTACGTCTCCCTTGCAATAACCTTTGAGCCAATTGCAGCTTGTATCGTTATCTCAAACATTTGCCTGCTCAGAACCTACATTTTGAGCTGCTAAAAAAGAACAAAAAAATCCGAAATTACCATTTTGTATAGATAAACAGACCTGTCTATGTGTTTCTTGAGCTTCTCCACCAGTGCACGACCAACACGCTGCGCCTTCAAGTTATGAACAATTGTTGCCATTGCATCAACCGGTTGTCCATTCAAAAGGATATCAAGTTTGACCATATCAGATTGTTGATATCTGTCATTATACATTCATCGAAGAATTTGCAAATAACCATCAGTACAAAAAAAAAAAAAAAAAGCAGTCGCCTCTTGTTTATTATTCCTAATGAGTCATACATTAAAGGAAGGCAGGCGAGAATGAGCCTTAAAAGACACGATGAGTGCTGAAACTTACTCTGCGTCCTCGTAATCAAATGATGCATATCCTGACGTAAGGCTCTTCAATTCATTGTAAAAGTCAACAACAATTTCCCTCAAAGGCAATTGATATTTCATAAAGGCTCGTTGACTACATATATCAGACTACAAAGAATCAGCATCTCAATTACAGATGAGTTCATATTAAGCATAGACACCATCATATGAAAAACAGTAATCCACTTTCATGAAATATGAGTATAGGTGAACCCTTCAAAAAAATAGGGCCAATATGGCTCGGTGATCATTGAAGAATTACCTGTCAATGAATGAATACTCCAACTGCTGCCCTCTCCGCTCAGAACAGAGGGTGATGACAGCCCCTACATACCTTCAATTGGAGAACAAATTACTTCTGGAGTCTGGATGAATAAATGCCTCTCAACGTTGAGAGGGGGAAAAACATGCTAAGGGTGTGTGAGAGCTTACTCACTAGGAATAATGATGGTAGCTAGAACTGTAGGTTCCCAACAAGCTGTTACTCGTTGCTTGGGGTTCGAGGGCAATGTGGCAGGATTTTGAACTTCTACTTTGCTGGAAGAGAACCAGCATTATATTTGGTACACCATATGAGAAGAAAATCTTACAAAGATATCATTAAATACATACCTTCCATCAGAATACTCAAAAATATAAGGAACAGTTGGAATGGTAGAAATAACATGAGCTCCATGCTCCTATTATCCATAAAAGAGACATGAATTCTTATTTTGTCAATCACCATAAGTAAATTGTGAAACACGCAAATCATGAAGTTCTTAATAACATTTCTTTCCTTAACAAAATTATTCCACTGAAAAATAGTGTATATATTTCATTCTGATGTATTAAGAAAAGTCTATTATAGATTTCTATTATGAATGAAGAAGAAAAACAAAACACTTATATTGGGCCATTCTCGCACAGAAGTGATACCTCCATTAAGCAAATTTCTTTAACATATCCATAAATAAAACTACGATCTGGTTACCTGTTCAAGCCGCTGGTGAAAAACATCCATGTGGAGTAATCCTAGGAAACCACACCTGTAGTTGAACACAGTAAGCATAACATGTCTACTTCATATGAAGCTTATTGAATGCAAAATCCTTTATTTGAGCAGTTAAAAAGAAAAGCTATTAGTCGTGAATACCATACCTAAAACCCATACCTAATGCTGTGCTACTCTCCTTGACAACGGATACACTGGCATCATTGCAGGTCAGTCTCTCAATTGCATGGTTGAGTTCTTCAAAATCACATCCATCAGCGGGGTAAAGACCAGAGAATACCATATGTTTTGCAGGCTTGAACCCTACAGGTTGAACACTATCAGTGACAATAAAAGTGAAGGAGGTTTTGGTATTCCTCCTTGAACTTCTATTTCTTCTGTTAAAGGAGATTCAAGAAACAAAACTACCTAAATGGTGCAGAAGCCCAAAAAAAAAAGATTAAAAGAAAAAAAGTGATGCACATACCCGGAAGGGGCTCAACGATGGTTCGATTATGATAAAGTGTGTCCCCAATGCGTGCCTCTTTGGTCGAACGCATGCCAGTAACAACATACCCAACTTGTCCAGTATGGAGAACTCCTGTAGGAGTAAGCTCAGGATGCATGACTCCGACATCCAAAATTTCATAAGCTTGGCCAGTTGCCGCAGATAAAACTTTATCCCCCTTGCACAACATGCCATCAACAACTGCAACATGGCATATAACTCCTTTATATTCATCGTAGTATGAATCCAATAAAAGCATGCGCAAAGGTGATTTGCTCTTTCCAGGAGGAGGTGGAATGCGCTCTATGACTGCAGGAAGGACTTGCTCAAGACCCTGGCCTGTTTTGGCAGATGTTAAAAGAGCATCACTGGCGTCGAGATCAAACATTGATTTTAGCTGAGCTTTAACACGATCAGGATCAGCAGTTGGCTGGTCAATTTTGTTAATGACAGGTATTATTGTCAGGTTAGATTCGAAGGCAAGATAAAAGTTTGCAACAGTTTGCGCTTGAACACCCTGGGCAGCATCAACAACTAAAAGGGCACCCTGGCAGGCGGCTAGGGATCTTGATACTTCATAGCTAAAATCCACATGACCAGGCGTGTCAATCAGATTTAATAAAAAACTTGGTTCTTCATGGTCACCATTGTTGTCTGCACCATAAAAATTGTGCTTGTAAAACATGGTAGCTGTCTGCGCTTTTACAGTAATTCCCCTTTCTCTCTCCACCTAAGAAAACCCAAATCAAATGTCTGGCATATAAAGTAGAAACAATAACAAACAATTTCCGCAATGAACATCTAGAAGCTGAAGCTGTAAAAGGATATCCATTGTCAACCTTTGGTTGAATAAGAGTAAGAGACATGCTGACACGGGTTCATTCTTAAACTCTGAGAAAAGAATGGCAAGAGCTTCAAATGCAACCAAAAAGATAATGAATAAAAACTTAAACTTTATGCATAAAAATAGCAAGTAAACCAGACTATCGTGCCGACAGAGACAAGAAGAACAAATCCCATATACCAGACGACTGAAACAGACTTATATCCTCAATGCAGAAACTCAGAGCAAGAAAACATTCCAAAAAAACCCATTTCTTTGTCCAGGTACTGAGGCTGACCATGACCTCTCTTAATAGTCCCAGTGAGCTCCAAAAGCCTATCAGCGAGAGTAGATTTTCCGTGATCGACATGGGCGATTATCGAGAAGTTCCTAATCCTCTCAGTGGGATACTGGCTCAAATCTATGTCACTGTCTTTGCTGTTTTTCCGAGAATGGGAACAAAACGCTTGGCTCAATCCAAAATGGCCATAACTGAATTCACTGTAAAGTGGGTTCCGTCTGGAAAGACTAGATATTGGGCTGAATTTAGAGTTGGTTTGCAACAAAGGCAAGTACTTGGATGACTTCAGGGTCTTCGAAGCTCTTCTAAGAAAACCCATTTGAGGGTTTAACGAGCTGTGGAGCAGAGACGAGTATGCACTGCGGCGAAGCTAAAATTCAGAATTTTGGGTAACAGAAGCTGTTGCTCGTGAAACGTCGTCGTTTCGATTGAGCAAGCTGTTTTGGTGCATGGCCTGGAGTAGCTGGATCCAAATTCTTTTTTTTTTTAAATTTTATAAATAGTATCGCCGAGCGGCTATACTTCTTTTTAATTTTTGAAAATAGTATAGCCGCAAGATTTACTGGGTTCCTTTTTTAAAAAAAATGTTTTTTAATGAATGGTATAGCCGAACGGCTATACTTGTTTGACACGTGGGCGCCCCATTGCTGGGGCCTAGACGCTAGGCAGGTCCTCTCATTTAAATTTTATAAATATTATAGCCGCTCGGCTATACGTGGTTTTAAAAATTTTCAAAATAGTATAGCCGTTCGGCTTGACTGGGCTATTTTTTTAAAAAAATTTGCAGTAAATAGTATAGCCGCAAGGCTTTACCGGCTCTTTCTTTAAACATTGATTATAGCCGCGCGGCTATACTGGACATCCTCGCACCGCAGCATTTTCTTAAAGTAGGGAGGTTTTGCTGAGATTTGCCCATCACTTTTGAGGCATGGATCAAAATCCAGGTCAGTGATGATATGTTGGCTTGTATAATAAGGGAAGCATTTCAAGCAAATTATAAGTTGATGAAAACTGCTCTAACTTTTGTTGGCATGCTCTGCATCTTCTGTTAATTTACTAACTTCAGAAGATTCATCAATATTCTTATTATTGGTACATCATTTCAACTGAGAGAAAAGGTAAAAACATTACATAGTGGGGATATTGGTAGGTCCTAAACACAGAAGGCAAAGAGCGAGGTTCCTGCAGTGTAATTGGGGTTGACAAATCCATTAAACACCTTGTAACCATTTCCAAGGTAAATGCATCCATCACTAACTGAAATGCCACCATACACAGTGGCTCCTGTATCATATGACCACAAAATCTTTCCTGTCTTAGCATTCATTGCGTATATCGGTCCTTGCCGGTGCGTGGATCCTCCGAAAACAACACCATTGGCCACAGTAACAGCTGCAGGAGCAGTAGCATCATTGGAATTGGCCGTGGACCATATGATATTGCCACTGCGAGCCTCCATTGCCACCCATCCACCAGCAATTGTGCTGTTCTGGGATGGTTTCAGAGTGAAGTTCTTGTGCTGGCTGTTGGCTATGTTTGTATAGACCCTTTTTTCGTCTGTGGCTGCACCCCACATTGCTCCTCCTCCTAGCCCTCCTGGTCCAGCTTCCTATATCAAAGCATTTTGTTCAGTTTTTGTTATGTAATTCAGACAGAAATTTAAGACCAATTCCATTTAGTTCAATTGTGCTGCTAGAAAACTTACCGTAGACCACACTAAGCTACCAGAATCTCTATCCAGAGCCCAAGCAAACCCACTTTTCTGAACAGCAACAACAATATCCTTTTTAGTCCCATTGACATATGTGGTTAACATCATTGGTGCTTCACCAAAATCCGCATCTGGGCTAGGTCCAGGCGGGCACCTTGGGTCCAAATGTCGATGGCACGCACCGAACCATATATCATAGCCTCCTAGCTGCTTATACCATTTGATTTTCCCAGTGTCTAAATCAAGAGCTACAATGGATTCAGAGTGGTTGTCAGGCTCAATGCAGGCCTCTGGGTGAGAAGGCACTGTTTGATTGTTTTCCTTCTCCTGGCATTCAATTATACGTGGAGGAGCTGAGTACAGGTTTGAAGTGGCAATGAAGACAAGGTTCCGAGGGACATCAATGGAAGGGCTGCTTCCCCATATTGCTGCTCCAGCATACTCTCCAAACTTGCCAAAATTGTCTGGCAGCATGAAGGTCTGCCATAAGATTGCTCCTGTTCGAACCTCTAACTTCGAGATGCTCCCGCGAAAGGTGCAGCATTGCTCAATGGTGAGTCCTTCTTCTAGAGAGGATGTTCCAACATAGTAACCCCTTCAAACAAGCACATACTAATAAGATTATGAAAATTGAAATGGGGTGCCATAAAATTACAATAGATGCAGTATTACTTTAAGCAAGTGGTTAGAGGTAACGTTTCTTTTCTCAGTTTTCTCACACACCAAACAAAAGAGTGTTTTGGAAGGATTGAAACACTTTCATAAAATGAATCAAAGACCCGGATGTCAAGTTGCCAAAAGTCTAGCATATCTCTATATTTTTTTAACACATACAGAAACTACAATATGAATAAATTATCAGGTGGAGCATAAAAAAGTCCTCTTGTTTACCAGAGCAGGTCATAAATAGCCACGAACCACATGGTGTAGCTTATCTTGTCCCTAACTTGAACTTGTTTTCAAGTAACTCCATTGACTGACTCACAATTTAATTCATATCATAATGTCTATGAGGGAAACTTCAAAAGAGGAGAGAGAATTCATGGGAGCTAAGAGAATAAAAAAAAGAAAAAAGAAAGGTAGATTTTAAGTTTGACTAACCCCTTGTAATAGGTTCCGGACATGGTGATAAAAGCTCTCGTGTGGTTGTCAAGTCTGGTAGACCAGACCAGCTTTCCATTGGACCTTTTCACAGCAATAACAAAAGCAGGGCCATAGATCCCAACAATGAGCAGATCACCAGCAACAGTTGGGGTCGATCGGGTCACGGTGGAGTTGACATTAAGGATGAAACCGGTGTTGTTAAAGCCTGTCAGCTCCTGCACATTCTTCTTCCAAACCAAGGAACCATCAGAGGCTTTGACAGCATAGAGGTAGCCGTTCCAGCTGGGGAAGTAGAGAGTGCCGTCGACGATGGCTGGTGTCACAGTTATGTCACCGCCTGCATAGAATTTCCACTTCAAACTGAGATTGGAAACTGTTGCAGGGCTTATCTTCTTCTCCCTGTTTGCATATCTTCTGTTGTACAAGTCTCCTCCATGGTTTAGCCAATCTTGGGCTGCAGCCTTGTGCTTCTGTGCAGAACGCCACTGCAACCAACAACCAAGTTGTGAAACCAGTGTTAATGTTGAACACACACACATAGAGAGAGAGAAGCTTACAATATTGAAACCTGCACTTGGTGTTATAACTAGACAAACCATACACAGAGAAAGAAGAAAAAGATTGTTAGAGGATCCTGCAGGCGCCATCGAAGTGAAAGCTTGAAGTGCTCACACAGGATGCAGGGGACTAAACTTTTGGCGTATTTCTATTTATAGGATTACAATTTTTGGAGTAACACCAAGTGTGACATTTATTAATCACTAATCGTATAGATTACTGATCCCATTTACAGAATATAATAATTTATTCCAAATAGTAAAGAAGGTTTTACATGGTGATTCCAAATCATTGCCCTTACATTATTATTATTATTATGATGTTACAGAATGGAGGAGAGATAAAAGTTCATGTGATACAGAAGGCGTAGAGTGAGGTTCCAGGAGTAAATCCAAGCACAACTCCAAAACTAACATTATATCCATTTCCAACGTAAATGCAGCCATTGCTTATTGACATGCCACCATACACAGATGCTCCGGTTTCATAGGACCACAAGATTTTTCCAGTTCTGGTGTTCATTGCGTATAAGGATCCTTCTGGATCTGGAGATCCAGCAAACAAAACACCATTAGCCACACTCACTGGGCCAGGAGAAGATGCGTTGCTGGGATTGACCGTTGACCATAGGACTTTCCCACTGCGAGCATCCATTGCCACCCATCCACCCGCAGTTGTTATGTTGCTAGATGGCTTCAGGGTGAACTTCTTGCGATCAGAATTGGCAATGTTGGTGTAGACCCTTTTCTTGTCAGTAGCTGCTCCCCAAGTTCCTCCTCCGCCAATGCCACCGGGCCCGGCTTCCTGCAGATACAATACCAAATCATTTATCCTCTTACATAAGTAGAGGGGACTAATCATTTTAGGGTTCATTATTTAGATTCGATGCATCATATCAGCATGTCACGTTATGTTTACAGCCGACTAATTAACTTACCGTAGACCATACAAGGCTGCCATTGTTCCGATCCAGAGCCCACGCAAACCCACTTTTCTGAACAGCAACAACAATATCTCTCCTGGTTCCATTGACATATGTTCTGAGCATCATTGGTGCTTCCCCAAAATCAGCATCAACATTGGGTCCAATGGGGCAGTTTGAAGCATTAAGGTAGCAAGCAACAAACCACACATCGTAGCCGCCCAGCTGGCGGTACCACTTGATATTGCCACCGTCCAAATCAAGGGCTAGGATTGAGTTTCCATGGTTTTCAGGCTCAACACAAGCATCCGGATGAGTGGGGATGGTTGAATTATTGGTTTGGTTTTCTTGGCATTGGATTACATTTTCAGGGACTGAGTACAAGTTCCCAGTGGCAATGTATACTTGTCTTCTATGGACATCAATGGATGGACTGCTGCCCCAGATTGCTGCCCCTGAATATAGCCCTCGCTTTTGATGATTATCGGGCAGCACGAATGTTTGCCATAAGATGGTGCCTGATTTTACATCTAATTTAGCAAAGCTGCCACGGAAGGTACAGCATGTAGCAATGGGGGCACTTTCTTCTACTGACGAAGTTCCAATGTACAAACCGCTGTAGAAATTCTAAATTAGTATTATAAATTGAAAAATATTGATCGAAATTGCAAATTAAGCAAAGGGATTTTTTTATAGAAATTTTAGGAGATTCATATTTCAATATAAAAAAGCCACTAGCTAGCCACAAGGAGCCATTACAATAACGATCCAATATTAAAATTAAGACAATCTAAGGCTCCTCCGTTAACGATCGAAATTCATATCAACGTAACAAGTTTCAAAATATAATATCTCGAGTACATGGCATTATATAAAGTGTTGAGTATATGCCATGTATGGACGTCATATATTATTTGACTTTCTTGAATTTGGCATATCTAGCCATGTAAGAACCACATAGGTTAGTTTACTACTTATAAAATAAAGAAAATAGTTTTTGCTGATTAGTTTCTTTAAAACCATTGACCAATATTGGTAATAATTTTTTTATTTATCATCATATCAAGTTGAGGATCATGTTCAACACTAAGATATAACTCTAAATTAATTAAGGGATTAATACTTTTTTTACCCTAAAATTTGGATAAAATTAATTACTAATATATATGACTAACCCTTTGTAGTAAGTTCCGGACATGGTAATAACACTTGACGCATGGCTATCAAGCAGGGTTGACCATATGAGCTTCCCCGTTGACCGTTCCACGGCAAGAACAACAGCTGGTCCACAGATTCCGATGAGCAAAAGGTCACCAGCGATTGTCGGGGTTGATCTTGAGACCGTCGTGTTGACATTAAGAAGATAACCAGTGGCATTAATACCAGTCAAGGTTTCTAAATTCTTTTCCCAAACTACAGAACCATCAGAAGCTTTGATAGCATAGATATATCCATTCCAGCTAGGAAAATAAAGGGTGTCCTCGTAAATTGCTGGTGTTGCAGATACTTCTCTGCCTGTATAGAACTCCCACTTGAAGCTTAGTTTCGAAACTGTTTCGGGGCTGATCTTGGTCTCCTTGCTGGCATATCGTCTATTGTACAAATCTCCGCCATGGTTTAACCAGTTTTGTGTAGCCTTCTCATGCGAGCCTGCACTGGCTGTGGTAGTAGTTAGTAGACAAAAGGTGAATATAGAAAGGGCTAAATGATTGTTGTTGAATTTTAAAGCTGCCATGTATCTCGTATGTTATGAGGTTTATTGTGTCACGTATATAAAGGGCCAGGGGGCTGCAAAATATATAGTTCAATTAGTTGACATTAAAATTGTTGCTTATTATACACACAGCTTACATGTATGTATCTGTCTTCAATATACATCCAAAAAAGAAAAATCCTTTAAAGCGATGTGGATTGTTTTATTCCCTTCATATTTATATTGTTGGTTGACATTTATATACACGCATATGGTCATGCATGATTCTCGTATCTTTAAAGATGCCTAGATAAGAGGCCTTAGTCTGCCCTCGTCCTGGGATGGGGTAGCCTCTCCTCCTCCTAAACTTTTTGAAACTCCAAAAGATGCCTAGATAATATATTTATTTGTTGGTTCAATAACGCAGTAAACCACATAATTTAAATATATTATAACTTTGTTTAAATGTTACTGAATTTAATTACCCCTTTCTTATTTTCTCTCTCTGAATAATCTACTTTGTAGGTTAGAAGTGAACATCAACAAGTAGTGCACAAAATGTAAGTTGATTTGGTTTTTCAACCTATAGATGGAACATTTACCTTATTTATTATGGGCTTAAAGCAATGCAAATATGTATCATTCAGATGCTTTATTATTATTATTATTATTATTATTATTATTATTATTATTATTATTATTATTATTATTATTATTATACATGTTGGAAGAATGGAGAGGTTCATGTGATGCAGAAGAAGTAGAGTGAAGTTCCACCATTAAATGGTGACACAGCTCCAACACTAACTGTATATCCATTGCCAACGTAAATGCACCGATTACTTATTGACCAGCCACCGTACACGGTTGCTCCGGTGTCGTAGGACCACAAAATTTCCCCATTTTTGGTGTTGATTCCGTAGATGGGTCCTTTTTGATTTGTGGATCCAGCAAATGAAACACCATTAACCACGCTAACTGGGCCAGGAGAGGTTGCATTACTGGGATTGGCCGTTGACCATAGGATTTCGCCAGTACGAGGATTCATTGCCACCCATCCACCCGCAGTTGTTATGTTGTTAGAGGGTTTAAGTGTAAAGTTTCTGCCATCAGAATTAACAATGTTGGTGTACACCCTTTTCTTGTCCAGTGGCTGATCCCCAAGTTCCTCCTCCGCCAATGCCACCAGGCCCCGCTTCCCTCATAATATCATAGCTTTGTGCTTAATTAGTTAATCAAGCATAGACATTGTTAATCACATATCTCAAAAAGATAAAACTTATTACAATCTATAAGTGGATACAATACTTTGCATAAGTGAAAAAGACCAATTATTTTGCTTTAGGTTCACTATTTAAATTCGATACACCACATCAGCATGTCACGTTATTTTTATGTAAACCATTCCTCTACGCTGGCACTCTCTTCTAATGACGTGGTTCCAATGTGTATATTCCTGTCAAGTTTCAATTGTGAACACACAAATCAAAGTCAATAATCAACCTATTTTTATTTAAACAAACCATTGACCCATGGTTAACAATCTTTTGTAATATCAACTTGAAGATCATGTTCAACAACACAAGATAAGGCTGAAAAGTCAATCAAATCTTTCAGATAACGGTCAACCGTTCAAGATTTTGGCCTTTTAAATTAATAATTTGTTATGAAAATTTGTAGATTAATTAATGGACGTATTATTATTTCATTTACACAATTTGTTTTATATAAGTGATAATCTACTTTAAATTTTATCTAACGGGGAAGTAACTCGAACTTAGGTATACGGAAATGAACTCGCTATCTTGGCCAACTAACCTAACCCACATATGTTATTTCATATACTCTTAACATATATAACATGATATTGAGTTTAAAATCTGATAAATTTGGTGAAAATAATTAAAGAATTATATCAAGCAAATTAAGACTAACTAGCCAATAGTACAATATGTGAAGGAGGTAGAGCTAGCTAGCCTATAGTACCGTATAATATTTATACTCTTGCAAGATGCAAGGATAATATAATTAAGGGCCAAGGGTCGGCTTCTTCTCGCACTGATAGTCATATCACATTTATATATCACCTCTCCAATAGAGGTGGGCGCCGTTGTATTGGTGGACTCCACATCTATTAGAGAGGTGGTACACAAGGTGATATTGAAATGTATATGATGAAAGATTTCCTGAAATGGGTAGACGTATACACAAAAGCTTTAATTAACAATAAGACTTTGTAGAATTGATGATAAGCTTAATTTGTGATTTGGCAGTACTAAATCCAACCTAATTATCTGTCTTCAGAATTGATCAAATATAAATATTTTATCCAGGGTGATGTGGATGGTGTTTATTCCGTTCATACACCCGGTTGGTTGATTATTATACACGCATTTGTCGTCATGCATGATTGTATACGAGGGTTAATTAGACAGGAACATAAGAGGAACGAGTTAAAATTTGGAACATCATGGAACAATTCATATATAGTACAGGAACGTAACAGATAAAATATTCAGAATTTAGTTAATTCTGTCGTATCTTGAACATACCAACCAAACCAAGCATCAAGTTGTGCACTAAATGATCGTCAAATTAAAGTTGAATTGTACATGATAAATGGCTTGTAGATACATAATGCAAATGTGATTTGAACCTTCTAACAACTTGTAGATTCATAAATAATTTGACACGTCTTCCTTTCAATGTTGAAAAGAAAAATAACATTTTTCAATCAAATGTTCATTTATGTAACGCAGAAGGCAAAGAGTGAGGTTCCGGCAATATATGTACGTTTATATCCACTGCCAACGTAAATGCAGCCATTGCTTATTGACATACCACCGTACACGGTTGCTCCGGTCTCATTCGACCACAGAATTTTTCCAGTTTTGGTGTTCATCGCGTATATGGAGCCTTGTGGATTTGTGGATCCAGCAAATAAGACACCATTAGCCACACTAACTGGTCCAGAAGAAGTTGCATTGCTGGGATTGGCCGTTGACCATATGATTTTTCCATTGCCAGGAGCCATCGCAACCCATCCACCCCAAGTTGTTATGTTGGTAGATGGTTTTAGGGTAAAGTTTTTGTTATCAGAGTTAGCAATGTTGGTGTACACCTTCTTAATGTCGGTAGCTGCTCCCCACATTCCTCCTCCTGCAACGCCACCAGGGCCAGCCTCCTATACAATTGGAATTCATTTATGTAAGGGGAGTGATTAATTTGTATCGGTTAACAATTTACAATATCTGCTACATTGTTGATGTCTGATCGAAAGCAATTATGAACTGTTATGATAAAATGATAAGTGAGTCAAAAGTCAACTTACCGTTGACCACACAAGGCTGCCGTTATTCCGATCTAGAGCCCAAGCAAACCCACTTTTCTGGACAGCAACAACTATATCTCTTTTGGTTCCATTGACGTATGGACTGAGCATCATTGGTGCTTCCCCAAAGTCGGCATCCACGTTTGGTCCAGGAGGGCAGGTTGAAGTATTAAGGAAGCACGCAAAGAACCACACATCGTAGCCGCCCAACTGGCGGTACCACTTGATATCGCCACCGTCCAAATCAAGGGCTAGGATTGAGTTGCCATGGTTTTGAGGCTCAACACACGCATCTGGATGAGTGGGTATGGTTGAATTATTATTATTCTGATTTTCTTGGCATTGGCTGACATTTTCAGGGACTGAGTAAACGTTCCCAGTAGCGATATATACATGTTTTCTATGGGCGTCGATGGATGGACTGCTGCCCCAGATTGCTGCCCCGGAATAATTTCCTAAGTTTCCATGATTGTCGGGCAGCATGAAGGTCTGCCATAAGATGGTACCAGATTTGGCATCCAATTTGGCAAGGCTGCCACGAAAAGTACAACATTTCTCAGCGCTCACGGTTTCTTCTAGTGATGACGTTCCAATGTATAAACTCCTGTAAAAATAAAAAATTTATTAAACAAGATATAATAAAATAAGCAAATTACAGGAAGGTATATATATACACCGTGAAGTTTGACTTTTTTTTAATCTTATCAAAGTTTATCAAAGTTGATCACGCAATGATGCACAATCAATTTTATTAAAATTTTTGTCAGAATTCGACAATAAAGATGAAAACGGAAGAATCACATTGATTCATAAACTGATGAAAACGGAAGAATCACATTGATTCATAGAGTTTAAGGATTAAAATGATGACTTTTAAAAAGGCATGAGCCACTTGTTATAAAAACCCATCTAACATTAATCCAACACCAACATTCTCCTCATCAAAATTTGTCAGACTTGGCTCAAATAATTTGCCATATCTCACAATTGTATAAAGTTTCATATACATGCATGTGACGAACTTTTAAATATGATATGATATATAGTTAAATTTGGGTTAATGGTTTTATTAGTCCACCAACTTGGACCGAATTTGCATTTGAGTACCTCAATTTCCAAAATGATACTTGTAGTCTTTTAACTTTAGTTTCGTTTAGACAACTAGTCCCACCGTTACTTCTGTTAACTTTTTCTGTTAAATACAGGGGTAAAATGGTATTTTTATATTAAAACCATAAAAATGAATAAAAAAATTATATCTTTAAAATTGTAAAAGAACATCACTTTTTTTAAATTAATATTTGAAAAAAAAGAAGAATTTGTTATTACTTTTTTTGTCCACATGGAAGTTCACGTTTTTTTTAATAAATATTTTATTTATATTTTAATAAATTTAAAATGTAAACAAAATATAAAAGCACTATTTTACCCCTGTATTTAACAGAAAAGTTAACAAAATTGACGACATGACCATTTGTCTTAACGAAATGAAGTTGAAGGACCACGGGAACCATTTTGGAAATTGAGGTACTCAAATGCAAATCGGGTCTAAGTTCAGGGACTAATAAAACCATTAACCCTTTAAATTAAAAAAATTGAGTGAAATTTGTGATGACCATGGACTAACCCTTTGTAGTAAGTTCCGGACATGGTAATAAGACCTGCCTCATGAGTATCAAGCATAGTTGACCATATGAGCTTCCCCGTTGACCGTTCAAGGGCAATAACAACAGCAGGCCCATAGATTCCAACAATTAGAAGATCATGGCCACGAATGATTGTTGGCGTCGATCTTGATACTGTCCAGTTGACACCGACAAAACTAGATGCGTTAAGCCCAGTTAACGCATGCAAATTCTTCTTCCAAATCAGAGACCCATTGGAAGCCTTAACAGAATATATGTTCCCATTCCAGCTCGGAAAATAAAGGGTATCGTCGTAAATTGCCGGAGTTGCAGATATATCATCACCGGCGTAGAACTCCCACTTCAAGCTTAGCTTGGAAGCAGTTTTAGGACTGATCTTGGTCTCTCTGTTGGCATATCTTCGGTTTGACAGATCACCACCGTGGTTTAACCAGTTTTGAGCCCTATCCTTCTCATGTGAAAGGCCTCCTGCACTGGCTGTGGTTGTAAGTAGACCACATGCGTATAGAGAAAGGGCTAGAATTAGATTGTTGTAGATCAATCTTAAAGCAGCCATGTATTTTGTGTGTGTATATATACGTGTATATACGTATATGTATACTCTTATAAGATGCAAAGATCTTGGAGCTCATCTTACTGAATATAAAGGGCCTAGGTAGATAGGGGATTGGTTAATTAATTATGATGACATTAACATTCATGCTGAAATAAACCTTGATCTGCAAATTTAAAACTGCTTGCTTCATGATATATAATCATATCATTTGATTTGGACAATGACAATGAAGAACAATAAGCACGCATTAGTTGTCATCCGTGACTGTAAATTAGGGTTGAATATTATTCCAAGAAAAGAAAAACCCATACGGAATGATTTATTATTTATTATTTATTATATTCATTGATTTGTGATAGCTTTTATTGTATTTACTATTGAGAAAGAAAAAGACTAAAGGAAGGGAATTTCAGGATATTCACTACAAGTCAACTTATGCGAACTTCTTCCAACAAGCTAGTGTCCTACGGAAGGCACATTTACAGAATTTAATTGTGTAATACATATCTTGTTTAATTGTTTGATAAATTAAACAATTAAAGTAAATGCAAATATGATTTGCGTATGTTTAAATTAATAAACATTTATTTAGTGACAAATATTATTTCATTCACGTCACACAAAAGGCGAAGAGAGAGGTGCCGCCAGTGAACGTTGGAGTTAGGGATCCAATTCCAACATCATATCCATTTCCAACGTAAATGCAGCCGTTGCTTATTGACATGCCACCATACACGGTTGCTCCGGTCTCATTCGACCACAGAATTTTTCCAGTTCTGGTGTTCATTGCGTATATGGATCCTTTGGGATTTGTGGACCCAGCAAATAGCACACCATTAGCCACACTAACTGTGCCAGACGAAGTTGCATTGCTTGGATTGACCGTTGACCACAGGACTTTGCCACTGCGAGAATCCATTGCCACCCATCCACCCGCGGTTGTTATGTTGTTAGATGGCTTAAGAGTGAAGTTTTTGCCCTCAGAGTCAGCAATGTTGGTGTACACCCTTTTCTTGTCAGTAGCTGCTCCCCAAGTTCCTCCTCCAGTAATCCCACCAGGTCCAACCTCCTACATATCACATTGATAAAATATGAATACTGTATCAGATATACTGTAGATTAATTGATACACGTTACTACACATTGTTTTGATCTCATGCACACAAGCGAGAGAGATGATATGAAGGTAATATATAAAATAGAAAATTAGGATAATGTAGATGATGAGTGAGTGCAAAGTCAACTTACCGTTGACCACACAAGGCTGCCATTATTTCGATCTAGAGCCCAAGCAAACCCACTTTTCTGACAGCAACAACAATATCTAGTTTGCTGCCATTGACATAGGTCCTGAGCATCATTGGTGCTTCCCCAAAGTCAGCATCCACGTTTGGTCCAGTGGGGCATGTTGAAGCATTAATGAAGCACGAAAGAAACCACACGTCGTAGGGCGGTACCACTTGATATCGCCGCCGTCCAGATCAAGGGCTAGGATTGAGTTGCCGTGGTTTTGAGGCTCAAAACACACATCTGGATGAGTGGGTAGGGTTGAATTATTATTGTTCTGATTTTCTTGGCCTTGGCTTACATTTTCAAGGACTGAGAAGATGTTGCCAGTAGCAATATATACCTGTTTTCTATGGACGTCGATGGATGGACTACTCCCCCATATAGCTGCCCCGGAATATTGCCCTAGCTTTCCATGATTATCAGGCAGCACAAAGGTCTGCCATAAGATGGTACCAGATTTGACATCTAATTTGGCAAAGCTGCCACGGAAGGTACAACATTCCTCATTGCTAAGAGTTTCTTCTAGTGATGCCGTTCCCATGTATAAACTCCTGTTAAAGTAGATCAATTGATATAGTCTGATAATATTTATCCAACATGCACCTTAAAAGCCAGACTTGGTTTAGAGGGTAACTTTGGACAAGTTCGATCGAATCCCCCTCCATGAAGATTAGATTAACCAGGATAAGAGGATACATTAAAATACAATATGGGATAGGACGCCCTGTAAGAATAGGAACCCTCAATTGAAGTTCACTGTATCCAACTTTGATATATGGTCAAATTCAAAAAGTAAAAAAAATAAATAAAGGTGGAGTTAAATGACTGACTAACCCTTTGTAGTATGTTCCGGACATGGTTATGAGACTTGCGGCATGAGTGTCAAGTAGGGTTGACCATATGAGCTTCCCTGTTGATCGTTGAAGGGCAATAACAACAGCATGCCCATAGATTCCAACAATCAAAAGGTCATGATCGGCAACGACTGTTGGGGTTGATCTTGATACCGTCCAGTTGACTTTCAAAACAAAACCAGTTGCATTAAACCCAGTTAATGCATGCAAGTTCTTCTTCCAAACCAGGGACCCATCAGAAGCTTTAACAACATAGATGAATCCATTCCAGCTTGGAAAATAAAGGGTACCATATCTGTTGAAGAATACACGAGTCCCACATCGGAAACTTAACAAAATAGAAAGTCCCATATAATAAATGGTTACACTCCTAATAACATCGAGACCTTTTGTATAAAACCTCACACCTGCTAAACAGGTGGTTAAGTTGGGGACAATATCGATGTTGTTAGTGGTGAGCCAATGGTCCGTCCCTGCCTTTTGTATAAAACCTCACACCTGCTAAATAGGTGGTTAAGTTGGGGACAATATCGATGTTGTCAGTGGTAGGCCAGGGGTCCGTCCCTCTGAAATCTTAACATGGTATCAAAGTGGGTCAGTTGATTGAGCCTGATTAAACCCAAATCAAACAAAAAACCCCAAATTGAATCAAAATCAAACAAACCCCAAATTAAAAATAATAATAAATAAATAAAGAAGAAAAAAAAAAAGTGACTGATGTGGAATTGGTTGCACGTGTGGCCTACTAAAAAGTAGTCCCACGTGAGGAGGAGTGTTGAAGAATACACGAGTCCCACATCGGAAACTTAACAAAATAGAAAGTTCCATATAATAAATGGTTCCAATATCGTATATATAGAACCCCACATTTGCTAAACAGGTGGTTAAGTTAGGGACAATATCGATGTTGCCAGTGGTGGGCCAAGGGTCCTTCCCTCTGAAATCTTGACAATATCTTATGTTGTACAAATCTCCACCATGGTTTAACCAAATTTGTGTAGCTTTCTCATGTGAATTTGCACCACTGGCTGTGGAAGTAAGTAGAGAAAAGTTGAACCCAATATTGGTCACGATTGCTTCAAGCTCGCCGGAGGAAAACTGCCACCACAATCTTGGTGCCCTCAACCGTATGAGTCACCGACATGCATATGTATGCAACATGAATAATGAATAGATTCGATAAATCACCAAGCAACAAGGGAGCACTTGATGACTTACCAAAGAAAATAAGCATTACAACTTTTCCTAAATGATTCAATATGCTCAAAGATGTAATTGCAATGAAAAGCTTTCCCAAAACATATTCAATATTTTCCAAGAAAAACCAATACGTTGAAAAGCTCCTAATCAAAGAAACAACAATGGTTTTATTCCATGCAGGTTTCTCACTTCCTATGCAACAAGGATTCACAAAACCAATTCAACTATCACTATTTGTTGTGATTCAATATGGGCACAAGATGAAAAGACGTCAAAAAACAAGGAGGCCCCTAATACTCTTCAATTCGTCAGCTTATGCAAGGATTGTTATTTAAGATAACAATCTTTATCAAAGAGACCAATTAGGTATTAATAAAAAAAATGTTTTTCAAGTCAAGGAAAAAAATAATATTTTAACTTAAATCAAAATAGAGTCCAACTAGGAAAGTAATCTCAAGAGATAAAATCTAATCATATTAAAAATAAGATTAACATAAAAATACTTGAGTGAAAAAACTCCAACTATGAATCCTATAATAAATGCATGATTATATCATGATTTACCTGAAGTCAAGTTTCTCATATCGGTCAAGTCATGCCTCGGATGTTTGGGGTTGAATGAGTTTTGTGCCAAAATGTCCAGTAATAATTCTTCACACGCTAATTTCAACATAGAGTCTAGGAAATGACAAACTATTTTCATACTAACAACCTCTCTATTAGAAGTGGAGCCCACCAATATAATGAGGTCCACCTCTATTAGAAAGGTAATACACAAAATGATATATAAATGTGATATGACTAGCATTTTTGATATATAGACTTGGAACTCGTCTTAATGAGTCACGTATTTAAAGGCATAGGGAGCTTATGACATTCATGCTTGATTGAATACGTTTAGGTAACTTGTCCAAATATAGAATTGTTGCTTAATTATGATGTTTAATTTATTATATACAAGAGATCACATCATCATAGGATATGTGCTGTGCGAACTCTAACATAAAAATCAAATTATATGGCTCCCAAAATTGACATTTGAAAAAGGAGAGAGGACGTCAAAATGACTTTCTCTATAATATATACTTGTAATATTAGTAAGAGTGGATGGTTCATTCAATCTATAATATATTGTCGTCATGCATGATTGTTAATTAGGTTGAATGAGTCTCTGATTTTATTCCAGTCTGTTGAACCCAAAAAAAAATAAAAGGGGATGAGAATTATCGACCGGCATGATCTTACATCAGCCCGGCCGGCTCTAAATTCCACTTGATTTGAAAGGTCTTATTGGCTAATATGGAAACATTTAGATTTTATGATATTTAGGAATTGTTAGATTGTAAATTGATTGGTACTATCAAACATTTGTTTATGTTCTAAAGGAAAAAAGAACTTTGTCAAAGGAAAAAACAACACAAGGATTGTAATGGATTCACAAAGCACAGCTGCGACGAATGGCCCAAGAACATAGGCCCCAAGACCCAAAGCTTATAACGAGAGTCAGCCCACCCAATTTTGATAATGAATGAAGAGGAAGACCTTGAAAGTGGAGTTTTGGATACGAGAACAAATGCGTGATCTTAAAAAAGACTCGCACTTAAACAATTAAAGGGAAAACAACGAGAAAATAGAAGAAAGAAGAGGAAGTCTGACCATCCCCTCAATCTAAAGAAAGAAGTTGATAAATTAGGTTTTGTTTGGTATGCATGCCTGTTATTACTTGCTTACCCGAACTAAAGAAAAGCCCAGTTTAGCCAAAACAGGCTAAAGCATTAGCTTATCAGATATGAAATTGGAAAAGGCAATACTACCCTTATTGTGCTTTGTTATCTAGGAGGATAGAAACGACATCAGTTATTCTTCATGTTGGCACCAATTTGTGTCCCCCTTTTGCAGTTGACGATAAAACGTGTCACCAGGCTAGAACACACACTCTTCACACTTTCTTCTTATGTTCTTCACCATCACCACCCAACTCAGTCGCAAATTGCAGTTGAGGATAAAACGTGTCACCAGGGTAGAACACACGCACTTTTTACACTTTCTTCCTTATGTTCTTCACCATCATCATCACCACCCAACTCAGTAGCAAATTGCAATGGCACACCCAAAAACCCTTCTTCTCCTTCTCTCCAAAAGGGCCAAATGTTTTGTTGGTGTATTTAACTTTACATTTACAAAAAAGAAGGATATCAATTGGATGCTACCTTTCCCAAACCAACACAAACGACTGACATGAAGAAAGCATATCCGTATAGAACCAACTAATTGTCCCATTGTTTGGAGAATTTGGACAGCCACTCACCCTCCATTATTTATCTCCTAGCCCACGCTTACAGTTACAGGGCTCAATAGTCAACTTCCCTTGGGTCCCCCAATGGTTCAGTTTCTGTACATGTCACATAGTAGTTTGAACTTTTTAATCAACTTCCTTGTTATTGATGTGAAAGGATTCAATTTCCACGTAAAAAACAATAGTTTAAATTAATTTAATTTACGAGGGGACTCAAACATAAATGTTAGCAGATACTGTTTGGTTAACTGGCCTAACTCATATAACAATTTTTAACGAATGAGGATTATGTTTAATTGTGTATTATATTGCATGGCAATGATGATTTTGAGACAAGGTTTCTTTCTCCTACCACCCTTGGTCATAATTAAGCTTTGAACACCTCAGTACACCCAAAATCAAAGGCAAAGCCAAAAATCTAAAAATTTTATTTTTGTCAAGATTTTCATTACATGACAGCAGAGTTAAGACTCGAAAATATGTTTAAAAAGAGATTTGAGTCATGGAAAGTCATCTTATTCAATGTTATCTTCCATATCATTGCTTAAAGCCAAATGATTAATCAATAAATCCTGTTATTAAATTTGCAGCATGTCCAAGGTTAGGGGCCCATATTTGGACGATGAAGAAGCTTGGCACATTGTGAGCTTTGCCTAGTCAACACAACCGGCTAAACACCTTGAGAGCTTAACCATAATCACCAAACAGCTCTCTGACTTTTCTCTATGTTTGGAAAGCCCTCTGCCTCTCACACTGTTTTCATGTAAACCCGTTAATCTCTTTAATTCTCCCCCTCCCATTAAATTGTTGTCACACATTTTCTCAGTCTTTGCCAAGAAAAATATGGCCAAAATTTGTGTGCTGCTTTGTTTCATCCTCCTAGCTGCTTCTGGGTTTGCCAATGTTTCTGGTTCTGAACCAAAGGAGAAGAAGGTTGGCATATATGAGCTCAAGAAGGGGGATCTTTCAGTCAAATTCACCAACTGGGGTGCAACCATCATCTCCCTTGTCTTCCCTGACAAAAATGGTTTGTTTGTTTCTTCTCTCATAATAATCTGTAATCTCCTGTGAATCATATGCTCTTCTTGAATTCTATGAACTTTGATTTTTTCCTCAAAAGTTTCTTTCTTGTGCTAACTTTTTTTTCTTCCTGTTTTTGGGGGTTGTGTTCTTTTCCTTTTTGTTGTTTTCAGGAAAGCTGGCTGATGTAGTTCTTGGGTACGATACAATCAAGGAGTACACGGTGAATCTTCTCTTTTCTTTCAGACTTTTGCCTTCTCTTTTGTTTTAAGCATTATTGGTAATTCTGGTGTTCTAAAGCTTCAAGCTTTTGCTATGAGGGAGCCACATTGCTCTGTGTCTCTCTTAGGGGGACAATTGTAATTGGATTTTCATTTTTGGAAAGAATCTGATTAGCTATAACTAGTAGTGTTTAAACATAATTCTCCCAGATAATTTGATTAGCTATTGCCTGGAAGCTTTTAGGGTCTCTATCTATTCTAGAACACCATGATATGTACATGGTTTAACGGTCAAATGGAAAGTTGGAAACTTGTGATTAACCCTGCTGGAGCATTATCCGTACAAAAATGTAATTTTGACAGAAAGCATTATCCTTACACTATTGGTTAGAAATCAATCTGGGAGACATAGGCTGATGGCCAGCCCTAGTTGCCCAAGTTGGCCATTTGGAAAGTGTTGGGAAGAGTATTTTTCTTTTAAAGTAAATCACATGGGGAGCGTTTGATTAGCTTCCTGTTCCTGCATTTCTACTTCCCACAACAAAAAATTTATCAATAAATATTTCTGTCACATAAGACAAAAGGATGATCTTGCAGAACAAGTTGAAGGCGTTAAAATCTAGTTCCTCTTTGTGTATATTAAAAGACAAGATTCCAAATGGCATGTGAAGTAAATTTTCTTCATGTTAAAAAAAAAAACAAAAAAACTGCATGACTGCCTGTAAACACGTGAAATTAGAACTTAATTTGTAATTCGAATTTTTTGCAGAATGATACTTCATACATTGGTGCAATTGTTGGACGGGTTGCTAACAGAATTGGAGGAGCTCAATTCACATTGAATGGAACTCATTACAAGCTAGTTGCTAATGAAGGAAAAAACATTCTTCATGGTAACACATTAGTCTCTCATTTTCTAACTTGAAACTAATTTCATTCCTTTACCCAGCAGAAGAAATGCAAGACCTGCAAATTGATTATTTGGTTGAATGAATCTCTCAGGTGGGCTTATAGGATTTAGTGATGTTGTTTGGAAAGTGCAGAAGTATCAGAATGAAGGCGATGCTCCTCACATTGTCTTCACCTACCATAGTGCAGATGGTGAAGAAGGTGCACAAAACTTTTCATTTCGCTCCTCTTCTCTGTAACCCAATAGATGCATGTTTTGTTTATGGCTTTGGATTCTGCTTTTAAACCCAATTCATTGTGACATATTCTGTGCAGGATTTCCTGGCGATCTGCTAGTCACAGTAAGCTACACTCTCCTTGGAGACAAGCAATTGAGTGTTAAAATGAAAGCTAAGGCTCTAAACAAGCCAACCCCAGTGAATTTAGCTCAACACACCTACTGGAACCTTGGTGGTCACAACAGTGGTGATGTTCTGTCCCAATATATCAAGATCTTTGCATCCCAAATCACTCTGGTAGACAGCCATCTCATTCCCACCGGCAAGTTTGCATCTGTGAAAGGAACCCCTTATGATTTCCTCAAATCGAAAGCCGTTGGCAGCAGGATCAACAAGCTGGCCAGCGGTTACGACATCAACTACGTGCTTGATGGCGGCGCAGGCAACAAGTTGAAGCCGGCAGCGGTGGTGTATGATAAAAAGTCTGGAAGGGTTTTGGAGCTGTCAACAAATGCTCCTGGTTTGCAGTTTTACACAAGTAACTCTCTCAAGGATGTGAAAGGAAAAGGTGGGTTTGTGTATGAACCACATGCAGCATTGTGTTTGGAGACTCAAGGATTTCCTGATGCAGTCAATCACCCTAATTTTCCTTCAACGATTGTGACTCCGAAAAAGCCCTACAAGCATAATATGCTGTTTAAGTTTTCAACTAAAGCTCCGTATGCCTCATAAGTTTCATAACAAGAAGAGTGTGCATATAACTCTTTATTTGTAATCTTGAGGAAATTTTATCGTTTTACCTTTTGTGTTTGAGTTTTTTGTAAGGTTAGGCCCTTTGAATTAAATAAATGTCATGCTGAAATACATCCTAATAATTTTCTTAGTTTTTGGATAAAATCTTATATCCTATATTTGTTTCGAGAATATCTATAATTCTTCTTCACCCTAGTGCTCAAACCTCGAGTAGTATTGAAACAACTTAAGTTGGAATATTGAAACTATTTAGGGCTCGTTTGGAATTGTTTCTCTAGGAAGTACTTCTGCTTAGAAGCGCTTCTCATAAAAACATTTTTATTATAAAAATCTTGAATTTTTCAAGTGCTTCCTGGAAAAACATATAGCTAGTGTTTCTCCAGAAAATAGTTCTAAACTTTTCTGCTAAACGTTGTTAAAAGCGCTTCTAATTGTCAGAAAGCACTTTTAGTATTTCCAAAAGCACTCCCAAACAAGCTAATCTAATAGGTACTTCTCTTTCGGATATTGAAAAAGATCTTAAGTTAGAATTCTCACTTCTTTATTGAGTTCCAACTTTATGGTGTGGTGCCCAAATGACCTGAAATGAATTTTAAACGCTTAAACAAAATGGGCTAAAATTTTATGGCCTAACCGTAGAAAGGCTGGACTCGAATTTTATTTTTGGACTTGAGACCAGTTTTGTTTTGGATCAATCTATGGGCTTGTTTGACGAGCCATAAGCTGACCCGTGACTCGTTCTGGGTCGACCCTTATTAAAACGACAGTTTATTCTTTAAACGAAAACGTCGTCTATGTGACTTGTGGGGCAGCAGTTGCGGTCCTTGGCGCGTGACGATAATATCTCCAAGACTCCATAGAAGAGGAAGAAGGATGGCTGTGCTGCATTCTGCTTGTGTTGCCGGAATCCGCTGCTTCACTCCTACTGCAGGTTAATGTACATCGCTGCCAATCAAAATATGAGAAAGTCAATAGCTTCGGTCACTGTGTTTATTCTTTTTCATTATCTCTTTGTATGTTGATTAATTTTTGCAGATACATGGAACATTTGCAGATTGATTAGTTCACATAAACACTCAATGGAAGCTAGTGATGGTATTAAGGAAATCCAATTGGCCCAGAAGTCTTCTTCTGCAAGTATTGGTCTTGGTTCCTCTACACGGTCGTCTTCGGGGACGTACGGCAAGTCGAAGAGGGTGTGGGTGTGGACGGAGAGCAAGCAGGTCATGACGGCTTCTGTGGAGAGAGGCTGGAACACCTTCATCTTCTCTTCTCGAAGTCGTGAACTTGCCGATGAGTGGTCCTGTAAGCTCATTCAAACTTCTATAGTCTATACGTTTTTGGGTTTTTCTGGTTCATGCGTTATAAAACTAAAGTTTTTTGCTTTGATTAATGAAGATTTTGATAAATGTAAAAACTTTACAATTATGGGTGTACCTAATTGGAGATTTTGGATGAATTTGATGTTGTTGTAGAAGCTTGATTTGCTCTGTGGAGTGCCATTTTGCATTAGAATTTTATTTTCTCATTTTGGATGATTTGGGTGTTGCATGTGGGCAGCAATTGCTTTGATACATCCTCTCTTTATCCAAGAGGGAGCGATTTTTGATGGCGAGAACAGAAGTGTTGCCACAATTCTTGAGGTCTCCAATCCCCAGGAGTTAGAGCAGCTTCAGCTGGATAAAGGGTTGGGGGAAAATGTTGTTGTTGATTTACTAGATTGGCAGGTTTGTAGCTGACTGATATGGAAAATTTTGTTTGTCACTCTCTCTTTCTGTTTCTCGAACTTCCTGGTTTACCTTTTTTTTTTTTTTTTTTTTTTTTTTTTGGGGGGGAGTGACGTTCTGCTCCTGATTTTTGTTGCTTAGGTCATACCTGCAGAGAATATAGTTGCAGCATTTCAAGGGAGTGAAAAAACAGTGTTTGCCATCTCGAAAACCCCTCTGGAAGCACAAGTCTTCTTTGAGGTACAACAAATCAAACGTGTTAAATGTAGGACAAGTGAATGAGCATTTCAGTTTTGAACTTTGAACTACCACTAAATTTCTATGCATCCTTAAACGCTGTACATGTTCATTATTTTGTGTTTGTAGGCCCTCGAGCAAGGTCTGGGTGGAGTTGTTTTAAAAGTTGAGGATGTAAAAGCTATTCTCGACTTAAAGGTGATTAGTTACTGGCCATGGGCTTCTTGGGCATATGGAAAGCTTTTTTCTTTTGCTTATATTGGTTAATATCATCAGGATTATTTTGACAGACGAGATGAAGTGAGCAACATATTGAGCTTGACCAAAGCCACTGTAACTTCAGTACAAGTAGCTGGAATGGGGGATCGAGTTTGTGTTGATCTCTGTAGTCTCATGAGACCTGGGGAAGGACTTCTTGTATGCTATAACTCTATTTTCGGTTATTGTGTTGCTCTCTCTATTGCGATTGAGCTGGTTCTCTGTTATTTCATCATTCTTATAGCCTGAGTTTCTTACTATCTTCAAGGTTGGATCCTTTGCCAGGGGACTATTCCTCGTTCATTCGGAATGCTTGGAGTCAAATTACATTGCAAGTAGGCCTTTTCGTGTCAATGCGGTGAGTTTGGTTTAGAGTGGCCCTGGAAATGTTTTTAAGGACTGTGACCTTTAAAGTTTTAATTTTTTTTATTCTCCCAATTAGTGTCTGTTTTACCAAATATATGTGTGAAATGTGCAGGGACCTGTACATGCCTATGTTGCTGTTCCAGGAGGAAAAACGTGCTACCTCTCAGAGTTGAAATCAGGTAAAGAGGTGATTCTGGTTGATCAGAAAGGCCATCAACGAACAGCGATTGTTGGGCGTGTGAAAATAGAAACTAGACCGCTAATCCTTGTGGAGGCAAAGGTTTGTAATAGCTACAATCATATTGTGTTTTTAAAAGATCTTAAATTGTATTCCTATTGGTGTTAATTTTTGTATGTTCTATAGGTGAGTTGCTATTAACAACACTAAAAAGTTAGCTCAAATCCTCTATGAACATTGTGCGCCTCACAACACGGAGGATTTTGATAACATTTCTGGTAATATAATTTTCTAGTTAGTTACTTTTGCCGCTGATTAATATACTTTTTTGTTGATATTTGTACTTTTTTCAGCTCCAGAGAGATTCAGATAATCAAACTCTGTACAGCATCCTTGTACAGAATGCAGAAACAGTGTCCTTAGTTTGTCCCAGCAAAGGTGTACTCTCACTCTCTGTAACTGGTTTCTCAATTTGCTGAGTTATATTGTTTTCCTTATTTTCCGTTCATCTTACAGTTGTTGAACTTTTACTTGCATTTGCCGCAGGAATTGAAGTGCAAAAAACTGCCATTCCTGTGACTTCACTTAAAGTTGGAGATGAAATTTTAGTTAGATTACAGGGAGGGGCTCGGCATACGGGAATTGAAATTCAAGAATTCATTGTGGAGAAGTAAGAAACGAAGATGACACAAAGGTGAAATTTGTTGAGAATTTTCCAAGTGATATAATTAGATCAATTTTTTGGTCTTGAGGTTGCTTTTGTAATAATATTGTGGCCCTGTTTCTACTCCAGCCCAACTTTTATTTGCAAGGTTTGGTTCTTCTAGCATTTGAGCCAGAAAAAAGAGTGGCATGCTATCAAAAGCTCTTCCCCAAACTCATCCCATTGAGATGCCACCAAAAAAAGAAAATTAATATATATATATATATATATATATAAATACAAGACAAACATATATAACCATTTTGACCTTCGCATACAAGCAGCAGCTACAAGGTTCTTTTCTTTGACTAAATTAAAAACTCAATTTGATGGAAAGGTGCAAATGTTCCTTTGCTAATTTTCTATGCTCAAGTTAAGCTTGATGGCAAAATTCTATAATCTCTAAGAAGACCGCAATGGCCTTGAGCTCAATACTACCACTGAGGTTTTTTCTTTCTTTTTCCTTTTCCAATCTCTCCTATCCCTTAAAATATAACGCCTGATAAGATTAAACAAAATGGAAATCTTACAGAAGCTCAATCTTACGATTGAGCGATAGGTTTGGGTGATCGGTGAGGATGGTTAAGGTGATATGGTGAGGCATGCGGACCATTTGGCATGGACCGGCTTCTAGTTGGTTGTCCATTCCTTGAAACCCCAGCCTGCCCTCTACTGCCATTCCGAGAATTTGGATTGGAGCCAGGCCGCTCTACTTGCAAGGCTTGGAAGTAAGATGAGGAAGATGCCATATCCTTGAGAGTGGGTAGAGGCTTCAGCACTTCAACAACTTCACTCATCAGAGGTCTAGCCTTGGGATCACGACTAAGACAACGGGCAGCCAACTGAAGTGCCTTCTGGGCACCTTTGATTGAGAAGCGGCCTTCAAGTCGAGGATCTACTAGTCGATAGAATCTTCGTCTATCTCCAAGGTGTGGGCGTGCCCACTCAACCAAGTTAACCTCTCCATTGGGTTGGTTTTTGTCCATTGATCTTCGACCAACCAGCATTTCGAGCAGAACCACCCCGAAGCTGTATACATCACTTTTCGAAGTAAGATGTCCTGATAGAAGATAACTCACGTTATACTTGGATGAGTTACAAAAATCCCTTGAAGCATAATATAAGACTTCAATACAAACTTATACATATAATATCGGGTGAAGTTGAGGAGCAAATGAGACCTGGAGGAATGTAACTTTATGCTAAGGTTAAAATACATAATACAGAGGCGAGTATATTTAACATGGGAGGCCCTCCTATCTTGAACATTAAAGTAAATAAGAAAATAACCATAGCTGCAATAAGCAAAAATCTAGCAGCTGGAAGCAGTCATATTTATGGTAGCATGCATATGGTAGTATAGTTATTCTTTCCCTTGTCATTCTTCATTGTCAGGCAGAGTTTAATGGAGACACATTGTCCATAAAACAGGTATCTAATAAAGTTGATGGGTGCAGTTACTAGAAGAGTCAGGCAGTCGGGCACAGAATGGTGAGGGCAAAGGTGAAGGTGGAGGGTAGACTAAGAAAAAGTTGCCAGGATGACATAATCTTATCTTAAGTTTAAGACTGCCTATATACTTTGTACCTATGAAAGAGTGCCAGATTTATCAGGTCTGGGTTCAAGGAATTCCATATGAAAGCAACAGAGAATAATAACAAGATGCAGTAAAACTGTTGACACAGTAAGGCAAAAAAATATGATACATACAGTTTATGATACCAACCTGTCATGACATACTCAGGGGCTGCATAACCATAAGTGCCCATCACTCGGGTGGAGACATGAGTTTTATCTCCCTCTGGAGCATCTTTAGCGAGGCCGAAATCAGAAAGCTTGGCGTTGTAATCCTGGAAGAGTAAATTATTGATTAGAAAAATAGGTATCAGGGCAAAATAAAGACATTTGAACTTGAAGTTCGCAACGCACCGCATCCAACAATATATTAGATGTTTTAAAATCTCGATAAATCACTGGCCTTTCAGCTTCCTCGTGAAGAAAGGCAAGACCCTTTGCAGCACCAAGAGCTATTTTCATTCGGATAGACCAAGGAAGCGGCAAGGACCCTGCTATGGGCAACAAAACTATTACTGAAGCATAATAGAATCATCAACTAGAAAATCATCTACTATGGGCAGCAGCACAGATTCTCGCTCACATCCAACTTTCTTTGTATGGTTTTTGTTTTGTTTTTCTAGGAAACATCTCATGGCATTTTGTCCAGTTGTGGAACCCACGCATTGAAGGAGACAAACAGGCTTACTACCTCACCACATTTAATGGTGGCACACATCCAACTTTAGTAAGTATTAACTCCTATCTTTATTTACTAATTAAATCAAAATAGATGGTCACACAACCTCCAAACTAAAATTTAAGATTGTTTTATCACTTTTTGCATACAAATAGCATCTAAAACATAAAAACTTTCCTTTCCTACGGAAAACACTTTTGGAGAACGTTATAATAAGCAAAAATGCGTATCCACACTTCAACGCTAATACTAATAGGAAACTTAGTCACCAAAAAATACAACCACCGTCATTCTTACAGCCTTCATCATCATATTAAAAGCTGTCGTAGGCTAAATTCGGCAGGAGTCAAAATAGTTCAAATATCATTACAGGTGAACATAATTCTTCAGGCCAAAAGAAAATATATGGCTTACTACCAGAACAAAGAAAAGGAGAGCATGAAGAGGAGGAACAGTATATAACATAAAGTGCAGTGACCGATAGGAGAGTATAAACAAAAACAAAAGAAACAGAAAACAATTCCAATGCTTGAGCAGTAACTATAGTAGGCCTTTAGATAGTTACCTCCACTTTCTTAGAGTAAACTCAGATTTCATGGTACCTCCAAAAATAAATATGACTAAAATAAAATGCCAGAAGGAAGACCGAATTCTAGGTAAACAAATTTCTACGAGATATTGTTTTGAGTACATACTTCTAAAGAGGTGATTCTCCAAGCTTCCCCGAGGCATAAACTCATACACAAGTAATCTTTGATCATCCTCAATGCAATAGCCATATAGTTTGACTAAATTAGGATGAAGTAGGTCACCAAGATAAATAACTTCAGCCTGCCACAAGGAAAAGACAAAAGGTTATCCCTCACTCATGGAAGTGAAGAAACAAATACCCATAGTCCTAATCAGTGGTAATGGGAAGAAAAAAAACTGATAATGACGCGCCATACCAGCCATTCTTTATGACCTTGAAGTCCATCATGGTTCAGAGTCTTTACAGCAACCGCAAGCCCAGTTCCAGGTTTTACTGGAGCAGTTCCATTTTCGTCGATCCAGCCTTTGAATACACAACCAAATCCACCCTCGCCCAAAAGATTCACAGGTCTAAAATTCTTTGTCACTGACTTAAGCTCATCAAAGGTGAATTTTCGAAGCTGAGAAGCAACTTTCAGCTCCTCAGCTGCCTTGGGAGTGGACAGGGTGCTTTCTGTGTTGCTAGTGGTTGAAGACGAAGCAACTGGAGCAGCTGGCTGGTCTTTGATGGAGTCATTTGTACATTTACTTTCCGCTGGTTCACAAACGATACCACATTAAATCATCAGGTACAATTTAAGACAACCAGCTTAGCCCTATAAAGAGAAGTGACATATCCTAAATGTGGCACGACTGGGAATTACAAACAATTCTCTTCCTGTATGATGAACATCAGGATGTATATCTACATATTTCTAAAGCATTGATAAGGTATTTAATGCAGCAAAATTCGTTGACGGATAATGCTCTGCCAATGTGAGTATCTTATTAAATGTTTTCCTTGTCTAATATTTCTCATTATGGGCAGCATACTTTGTGTATATACTGAAATTTTGTGCAGATTAACATCTAGAAGATTGTAAAAAAATTTAAACTGCTATTTGAATAAGTAGGTGACCCATGATGAGAGCACTCACTGCTAAAGATAAGCATGCTAATCACTTTACAGAACACAGGTAACACAGGCTCCCACCTATGTTACTTTTATGAAAGAGTTTTGCTTCGGTCAGTTGCCCACGTGCACGCGGAGAACAATTGAGACTAACATTTTCCGTTACTAAATGTGCATACAGAAACACATCTCATCACATAAGATGCATTAATTGTCAAAACAGCTCTTACTAAATCCTCCACAAAAATTGGAATCGTAATCATTTCATATAGCACATAGCCAAACTAACACGTGCAAAGCATTTATCGAAAACGACAAAAGGGAACTAGCTGTGTATCCATACTATAGGGAGCATCCAGCAAACATGAGTCAAAGAATAAACTAGCTGTTTTCATGTAGCGCATAGTCAAACAAGCACGTGCACAGCATCTATCCAAAACCACTAGCTCTGTATCCTTATTTTGGGGAGCATTCAGCAAACATGAATCAAAGTCGATGCTAAAAGTCAAAATTCAGCATGCTGGAAATATCTATGCAAGTTGTGATATTCTTTGCAATTCTAATTTAAAATGTGAACACCTCATGGTTGAACTTTTGAAAGTTCCTGGCCATTCTCGATTAAGTAAGAAATGAAAAAACTAGTAACTAATGGGACCTTATCACTGGATAAAACCAAGACCCAGAAACAGTGCAAAAACAGATATGATCACAGGATAACATATTTATATGACCACGGTATTAAATGAAGAAAAAATGAGGATTGATGAGTTAAATATGCATAAGATAACATGCTTTCAAACCAACGAATGAATCAAATTTTAAAAACATCTATATGCATGGCACGCCGACATGCTATATAATAATCACACCATGGCATTGCCAAGGAATCAATCAAAATCCAATCCACAAATAAGACCATAAAAATTGAGAAAGGGCATTAGGAAAAACATAGAGAAATGAAACAAAACTTAAGGGAAAATAAATTATACCATCTTGTGTGCTAGTTCCACTTGTAGAGCTATCCACTTTGGTCCTTGAAGACACGCATCCTCCCATGAGCCTAAACTTCATCCAACACCCTGTCATTTCATCTTCATCATCTTTCTTTTTCTTTCCCTTTGATTTTCCCACATTCCAAGCTCCAGCATGAAAAGCATCAGGGCCTAATCCCATGTTATACAAACCCTAAATTAAACCCCTCATATGTGAAAGATATGCAATTTAATCTTTCAACCCCCTTTGATACAGAGTCACCAAGTGAACAAAATGAAGATGACACAAATAACATAGAAAAACAACCCCAGAGAAGAAAAACTGTCCAAATGATCAAAATTCTAGAAAACGCATTAGACCCTTTTCAGATATGAGAACCTTCAATTCAAGAAAACCCAAAACCACCAAAACCAAGTTGAGAGATCGAGTATATATGCGTTAAATCACTCCAATGGATAAGATAAGACCCATATAAGAAAACAGACATGCAAGCCAAAAGGACGACCACCTAGCTAAAACAGAGAAGAATGTCGCACTCAGAACGATGAAAACCCAGTAACCCAATCTCAGAGGGCAACGAGTTCAAAGAGGAAAAAACACATTTTGCACTCGAAAATCATCAGTTCGTTTCCAGCTAACCAAACACACATTCACCGGTACAGACAGACATGGAGACAGACAAAGACAAGTACAGAATCGCGTCAAGGTTAAGCTACAAGAAACCTAAGAACAATGTGGTTTAGTGTGTGTGTGAGAGGGAGAGAGAGGAGCAAACGTGCGTTAAGCATGGAAAGGAGTGAAGGACAAGGGTGAGGAATGAGGAGGATGTTTTGAGACCTTAAGAGAGAGAAAGGGAAAGTGTAAAACAACAGGCAGTGAGCCAAAAACGTTCCTTGATTTCCATACAGGCTTCCCCACTTGTCACTCTGCTACGTTACTGGCTAATCTTCATCTGCCACACCTATTAAATAAGAAGACCTCCAATTCTTTTTCTGAAAAGAAAAAAACATTATATTTTTCTCAAAATTGATGATGTAAATCCAGATTGGATGTTTTTTTCCTGATAAGTGGTGCTCATGCAGATGCCCAACATGTCGTTTGATTACATGATTTTAGTTTCATTAGGACTTGATTTTGTCTTGTTATCATTGCTAACTAATGTGATAGATAGAGGGATTGTCTTTCTTTTTTTCTTATTATTTTATTTATGAACTTGTAACTTGTTGCTTTTTCTTTTTGTGGTTTGATTTTATGTTACTAACTTTCTGCTCTTCTTTTTTATTTGCTGTTGAGGACCTTTTTTGCTTTCCTGTCGGGTTGTTTAACTTTTGTCGTTGATTTTGTCAAGCGAGACCAAACGCCACGACGACCAAATTTCAGCGCCACGCGCGCGCCACAGATAGATAGATTTCGGCTTTAGCCCTGCATTTATAATTTTATTTTTTTATGAGGACTATTTACAAGAAGCAAAGCCCAAGACCTTCCCTTTCTTATTAGTTTTTATTTAGCCCAGATTTTAATTGGGCTGTCTCTAAAAGGTCCAACCGTGTTTCATTAATTTGAAAACAGTAACGCTTAAATACCAAATTAGTATGGTAGATGATATAATAATGTTTTAATTAATTATATATATATAAATCAGTTAATTCCCTCCAAATAAAAAATAGTTGGGTTCATCAATGATTTGGTATCTTATTTAGTTTAATGCCATTAATAGTACTAATTTCATAACTACTCACAAATTTCAATTTCTTCTACTCAAGATCTGGGCTACACTTTTCTTAGGGCTCTTTTCTCCATGGGTGGATCTAGTTCGGAAAGGCTATAATGAGGAGTTTAAAATGAGGAGGCTATTTGAAGAGATCAATCTCACCATCAACAAATGTAAAGAAATCATGGGACTTAAACATTTTAAATATTTTAATGGTGGGATTGGCCTCATCAAATAACCTCCTCATTGTAACCTCTCCTAAATCTGGTCACACCATGTTGGAGTTTGTTTGTTATTTTTGGGCTTTGCCCTATTTTACGTAGCTACTATAAGTTTTAAAAAGACTATTACAAGGAGGATCCTCCGTGAATCCTTAAGCCATACAAATCAATCTTTTTTTTAAAAAAAAATACAAGTGATAGTATAAATTATAAGGGTTTGTTTGATAGGGAGGACTAGACTAGACTAACAAAATGCCTACATTTCATGTGCATTCAAGGCATAACATGGATAATGTAGTCTAACTTTGAGGATGAAGGGGGCTAGAGGTTGATGACTAAAACTTAATCCCCCCTAATCCACTTGAAAATGGTGGAATTAAGAGGGATAAGTTTTAGTCATCAACCTCTTATGAATAGTCCTCCTTAATCCTCTAAGTTAAACAACAATATTCATATTATGCCTTGAATGTACATGAAATGTAGGTATTTTGCTAGTCTAGTTTAGTCCTCCCTAACAAACGAGGCCTTGAGAGAAGAGGGTTTCTTATACACACGCTATCATGGTGTCATGAAAATTTGAACCTGAGACAACTGGCTTGCAAGTGTTGGCTACAAATCAATCTTTAATCTAAGCATAATACAACTAGAAAAATTAGAAACCCAAATATAAGGATGATCATAAAATGTCTAAGATTGACTAAACTATAGCTACCAATATTGGATTCTCTGTATGTTGAGTAGAAACGAATTGGAATTGAGTGAAAATATGCCCATACCTTGAACAATGGTTCGAAGTTGCAACTTGAATATCTTTGTTGAGTATTTTAATGAGAACTTATGGATCTCCTTCAATCTCAATCCTCCAGAAACATCCTCTTGCAGAAAAAAACTATATTATATATGAGCTCGACTGAGGAGATGATGAGCAAACAACATGCATGCAACTGCTCCTGCAAAGCAGCGCGGTGTTCAAGGCAATTGGTGCAATTCCAAAATCCTCAATCATCGCCTGCTATATTATATGTGTTTGCTCAAAACCCCTGTCAGCAAGCTCATGATTTATGATGATTTCATGAATCATAAACAATTTTGAGACGCATGGAGATCCAAAATGACATGATCATATATCCGATAAGTTCCCTGCATGCAGCAGAAACTCTGCTCAATTTCATCCTCTAATAATTATAAGTCTCTCTTTGTGTATGTTCAAATTTTGTGCAGATTAATTATAAGTCTTGATTTCGTGCTAGTTTAAGCCGCAAGGGAGAGATTACAATAACTCAAGGGCCAATATATATAACAGTAAGAAGAAGGAAAAAAATAAAATTTGATGATGAGGGTATGGAATTAAGATGTAGGGTGTCTCGCAGTTGAATTTGAAACATGTGACGAAACAGGATTCTTATGGTCTAACTGAGGGAGACAAAAGCCTGCAGATTCACATGGACTGCGTACAATTGGGCCTCTTGTACTTGAGATATATCACTCACTCTGTAAGAAGGCAGGCTGGGGTTAATGCAGTCGAACACGCATATATGCCTGAAAGGTGGTTGTACGAAAGTCCCAAGGTTTTTTTTGCTGAAATTTAACTTTTATTACAGCAGGTAACATATATTATTATTTATATATATAGTTTGGCTAATCAGTGGTTGACTGTTGTAACTTTTATTTGATTAATTAATTTCACATGATCAATTCGGTCTCCTGAACACCAAGCTGGCCATTCAAATTCCTATCTAATTCTGTTAAAGCAAATGATGCACTAGATCACGACAGTACTTCTATGGTGTATAACTTAAAAAATATATAAAGTAAAGTGGCTCATCGTATTTGTAGTAACTTACCATTGCTCTCACTTCTAGTATCGCTTAAGTCAAATACGTAGCATAACATATATTGGGTAACGTGATCGTTGGACTTGACACATGAATAATTTGCTCTAATACCAATTGATTCTGGATGGAGAGATAACTCAATATCATTTAAACTATTAATATATTTTAATTTCCCAACATGAGACAATACTCTCAATATTTCATTTAAATATTTATTTTGAAAATTTGTTCTAATCTAGATGTGGTCAATTAATTAGTAATGTTACTCCCAAATGCTTGTTTTGTTCATATGATGATAAAGAATTGAATTTTGCTCTGCTATGTTTCTTGTTTTCTACACAGATATGCAGAGAGAGAGAGAGAGAGAGAGAGAGAGAGATGGTGTGTTTGAAGTTGAATGATAATAGGATATGGTGGCAGTAGATCACATGGATATATATGCTACAGAGAGAGTACACAGTTAGATACTCTCGATTGTCAGAGGGAAATTTACAAACGTCACCTTCAAAAGCTCAAATATATATTTACAGTGACCATTTCTTAACCCCCTCCACTACTTGATTTGTTTTCTTCTTCTCCCATCTCTCTGGCTTCTTTCTACTTGGAATGTGTACTCAGAATCCACCTCAACCCTCTTCTTTTTTTCACTTCTTAACCTCCCACAGAGATTTTGCTCACAGTTTCCTTTAAGGCTTTAATGTTCATCACCTCTATCTGCTACATGAAGTCAGCTTTTTTCCTCATCACTGCAACTGACTTCACAGAGCAATTCCATATATAGAAATTGTTTTATATTACTACATCATGATTCCAAAGCAACAACAACAGTTTTTTTTGTTTTTTTAAAATGAAAATTTGCAGGGGGAGAATCCTTTTGATATTATTTCATGTCCCATATGCTGCAAGCCAGCGCTGGAAATCCACTCACTTAGCACATGTACAAGTATATCTTAATTTAAATAAAATCTTTTAGCACTACTCTTAATATGATCCAACCCAGCAAACTAATATAATTAGCACATAATCCACTGAAGCATGGGATATAGAAACTTGAAAGTGTATTATTCAGAGCCAATCAATTCCCCTTACTGGTTTTCAGCCCAACTGATGAAATTGATGAAGCATAAATATTGAACTCTGTACATCAATCAAAATCTACAGCCAAACTTGAAAATTAATAATTAAAACTCATAGGAAAATTTCCTAATTGTTTAATTGATTACTTGTCTGATCATTGGGCCTTGGCAGAACTGGATAATGGGTGCTTGAGAATAACCTGAAGCGGTTGGTTCAATTAATGAAAATGGTGCTGCTCAGGCCATGGCCAATAGCCTTGCTGCTGCTCTTGATCAATTCCATTGAACATGCTGCACAAGCTTTCATCTTGAATCATTTGATCAACTTTGAGGCACTGAAGATCCGATCTTGATGACCCTTGGAGGAGTTGGGTTATGCTTGTAGGCCTGAGGGAGGATGGGAAGAGGTTTTTTCCATTTGTCTGCTGGGAATTAGATGGTGAGCTGTTGGTTGTTGCTGGTGTTCTGGAAATGTCTAGGTTGAGATGATGATGATGATGATGATGATCTGAACTGTTCTCACTTCCATTGCTCCGAGAACCCTGATCAGTTTCTTTCTTGAGATTATTAATATTATTAAGCCCAGCTTCATTTGAATCCTTGCTTTTCATAGACAATAACTGCAGCATTAATTTGAACCCAAGCAATCAAGATTAAGTATGAAATTATGATATTAAAAACTGATGATGATCACTCTCAGATGCAAGTTCTTCCATTTCCAACCAATTAATGAAAAAAAAAAATGGGACTTTTTGAATATCAAACATATAAACATTAAAAAATTGCAAGCAGGTAAGCAACTAACTAAGATTAATTAAAATACTTTTGTTCATCAGATGCGCATCTGACAGACAGACAGACACTGATTAAGAGAAATTAGGGAATATTACAATGACTTTTGGTAGTAATTATATATTTATGTGCATTGGATCAAGAGCTCCAGCAGCCACTGGAATTAAGATGTCCTAGTAATCATAATGCACCATAATCCATGCTGATCCTATGGATATTATTTATAATACCAAGTTAATTAATTAAATTGTGAAA